CAAAGCTAACAACGATATCCTATTACTCAGAAATAGAATGTTGACAACAGACATTTTGGACAGGATCAGGATTTGGACAACTCCAGCAGGCCTCTAAAAGAGATTTTTGCCTAGAGCTGTATGGTTATAATGTAGAAAAAAACGTCCGTGCTAGACATTCCAACCCACCTACGGTTCCCAATTGGGCATTCCTGCTTGTCTATGTGGCTTTTTGAGTGCTCATTTGTTTGTCCCGGTGCTTCGGAAGAAGCAGCAGGACTCCTCTCGGTCAGCTGCCGTTTGGCTTTACTCAAACCCTCGGTTTGAAACAGTGCTCGAAGCAGCTTCTTCGGTCCCGACGAAACGGCTGAGGTTTCTTATGTTCTGCCAGTTGGATCAGTTTTACCATCAATTCAACCCATTGCGCTTATCCATAAATGCAGAGTGTTACTCAGAAACAATTGTTTCTAATGAGGACCGAGTGATTTGGCAAGTTCATCTAGCATGTTAATCCAGATACTTGTGCATACAAATGTGTGTGTGTGTGTGTGTGTATGCGAATGTGTGTTCGTGAATTCGTGGTTGCCTAAGGGTGCCAAACGGTACTTGGATTTGAGACATTGAGACTACTCGACATTTTAGCTCGAAGTGGTTGCAGACAAGCCAATCATGTATGATGATCTCGTGTCAACTGGCATGACAGGTCTTGCAGGATCAGACAATTCTTAGTGGAACTGAAGATACTCATCTCGAGGAGTGAGTCAACCGGAAGGCTATTATAAAACTAAAAGACAGATATTTGTTGAGCTTACTTCCATTTCAAGTGAAAGTGTTGGGTAAAGAGATTCGAAGGTCGGTTCCACCAGAAGACGACAGCGGATTCCTCTTGACCAGCTGTCGATTGGCTTTACTGCAAGATTCATGCTGACGCTGTTCCCGAGGCAATCCCCTTCGATTCCGGTGAAAAGGTGCTAGGCTTTCGCCCGTCATATGATAGACATCATCAGAGCAAGGTATCATCGTCACAACCAAATTCAAGCTAACGAATCAAGAAAACTCACTGGCAAATCCCTAAAAATTGGTATATATACTCTACATCTGGCCTCTTTGATCAAGTATAAAGTTATTTGGTTAGTCAAAGTCATATGTCAACTTCGATGCATGTAAGTGTCTATCTCTGTATATGTATGTGACTGTTTGTGTTCGCACAAACTCACAGGTATCGAAGTT